AACATAGGAAACGAAGAGAGAACAAACTATGGAAAGCAGAAGTGTCCTGTTGAGACAAAGAGAAGAGCAATTTACTTTGTTGATATCAATATAGTGGCATCATTTAAGAGTATCAACATAGTGATATAAAATGTGTGTATATATAAACATGGATTGGTCTAATTTTCCTTGCCAGATTGTCCGCACATGCTGCGACAGAGGAAGCCGCCAGTGAGCCAATAGAGTGAAAGCGATTATGAGAAGAACAGCCTGGACGGCAATAGTAGATAACTACAGACACGTGAAGTGTCCACATGGTCCGCCTCCAGTAATATCCCTGTAATAACACAAAGGTGCCGAATGCGAAGCCGGTAGCACATGTTTTACCGAGAGCGATGTTGCAATTCAGAAGACGAGCATACAGAGAATCCTTCCTGGCATTCGAAAACGAGAGTGTGAACAGGCGAGAAGTGTGCAGGAGTGTGCTCATAGAATGAGAGGCCCCGCATTGCAATTTTACCGCCACGAGATTTGGGGAAATTGTGGGTCCGCGTGGCGCAAGACTTGGGGGAGATTTTAAGACCGAGGCCTACACACATGTGCACGCCTCGACAGATTTCTCCAAAACTGGATGGAGTTGCACCGGGACATCTAGGCGTAGGTAATTGCCAAGTCCATGCTGGACAACTTTGGAACAGTACTTCGGACAGCACTACGAATGACGTATAAGCTTGGAATAGTGAGCTCATGGAGCAGACATATTTATCGACAATTGAGAAACACGCCCAAACAGGACTTTGAAACCCAGGGTATCAGCGACTATTCCCTTTTTGTGAACTAAAGTGAAGCTGTGTGAGCAGAACACACTCCACATGAAGCCAAATGCACAGTTTCATTATGCAGACCACACACATCATGTCCATTTGTGAGTGTATGTGGCTGAATGTGGTAGCAAGCATCTTTACCCCTATTAGTATCCACCCGTGTGAGTTACTTACTACTTCCTCTTTTCTATATAAAAGACGAGATAAGTGGCCAGAAGTCCTTTTTTTAATAAAGAATAAACTTGTTCTTTTTGCACAGATAAGGCTTTTCAAGTTATAAATGATTGTTGGAACTAAAAAGCACCAGAGTCGAGGGACAGCTTTCATCCCACAGGCAATAAGACATCTACAACATTCATCTGGCTGCTACTTTAAAATTATAATACCATATATACTAATACAATCAATATACTATACAAACAATGACTTGCATGAGGACTCTTACATTGAACACTATTTCACTAATTTAAACATTATTTCCATCTTGGATTATAACTATTTACTTGGGACGTATATTTGTCTTGTTAATATCCTGTGTTATTTGGTGCTACTGTTAAGAACTGTTACACAGAATTTAATATCACGAATAAACACACAGTAGCTCTTTTGACAAATAATAGAACCAGTGAAACCAAAACATCGCATATAACGGAAAAATGTGGATAAAATAGTTTTAATTGTTTTTCAATTCACTCCTTCCACTCGAAAAATTGTGTTGACTGATTTATTGTTCTCCACTGCGCACTGAGCATTCAAGTGTTCAAGTGAACTGTAGTGCATAGTTTGAATTAGGAGGGTTTGATTTCTCATTTATCTTTGTGGAGCTGGAAAGTTTTCTCTGTGTCGACTTAATATGCGATTACCACTTTACAA